TTTCTTCCGGCTTCAACCCCACACGCTTAAAGGAAATTGACGATTGTTCTTTGCACCTTCCGAGTGGCTCGCTGCAAGGCAACCCTGTTGTCGTCTTGCTCACTGCGAGATCAGCCACACTGTGCAAACGCCCCGCAGCCTCAAGCTTGAAAATGTCCGTGGGCCAGTCGCGATCACAACAGGACCAGTTGAGCACCTTGGCAGCAAATGAGTGTCATTGAGACGTTCGAGAAGTATCGAGCAAGATCAGCAAGATGAGCAACAATGGAATCGATGCGCGAGCAAAAACAAAAATGCAAAAGAGCGTGCTTCCAAGGCCGACGGGCTCAGGATGTTGTGATGAGTGAGAGACAGAAGAGAATGAACGTGGACGAGGAAAAGTCGAGTGACAGGGGGGGCCGAACAATGTTGCGAAAGGAAATGTGGACGTGTCAAAGCCTAGCACGCAAGTGTTGCTGACAGGTGCACGGCTTGCGAAGACGAGGAGCCAGGACTTGGCCCGGCCGTCCCCCAAGGTTGCTCAGCGAAGCACCTGACGAAGTCGTCACAGTCGCACCACCCGCCGGCTTCTCTGTACCGTAAGCGGCCGCCATTCTACGTATGATGCCTTCCACCGTATCGACATATCTTTTGATGTACTGCGCATCGTAGTGGTCGCTCCAGTTGACATTGAGAGTGATGGATCCCTTCCAAACCCAAGTGTGAAGTCCCATCTGCGGTCGCGTCAATCGGCTGGTGTTGAACCAGTCAAGCAAGCGGATGACGTCTGGCGCTTGGGTACTGCCATCTTGGCTGTAGTTCACGCGCATTCTCGACTCGAGCTTGCCGAGGGAAGTGTACGCGTCTCCAGGATTGATGGCTTCGAAAGGCGGGAACTCCTCGTTGTCCACGCCAAGCATCTCCGTCACGGGACGCATGCCCTTAATCAGCTCCCTGTCGTCTGCGACAGCTCTGTATTGCTGCGCCAAAAGAGGTCCAACCTCCTTGAACGCTCTATCCAAATGAGCATCGGAGCCCTCGGCTTCGCTCTCCTTTGCGCGAATGTGATCCAAGCTGATTTCGGTCGTGAATCCAGCAGTACCGGTGCAAATGTAGGGCTGACCGAGGAACTCCTTTTTGAAATATCGTCTGTAGTCGACTGGAAGCATAAAGTTGATGATGTGGGTGTTTTCGATGTCTTCCCCTGCAGCTTTGGCATCCGCTGCGCGAACCGCCCAAACGGCCACGTGCCTTGCGGCATCAAGACCGTGTCCAGACGTAAAGCCAAGGGAACGGCATGCTCTGTTGAAACCAGCAGTGACATCCGTGGGCAGACGTCGCCTTTCATTGAAGGCATAGCCCATCTCTCCTCGAGGCTCCATGCGCTGTGGCGGCAAGCCGAGCGAGGGTCCGTGACCCGCAAGCTCAGGTCCGAGAATCTTTTCGCTCTGAGCATCGTCCGAGTCAGACGGGCTGATGCCGATGCATTCTGGCAAGCACCGAGGAAGCCTCGAAGTCTCTGTGCCCCACTTGTAGGCACGAATCTCTTGTAGGCCGCTTTCGGCACTACCACTCTTGACATGCCTGGCCAAGAAGGCCATGATGAGCTCGACGTGGCTCAAATTTGATTGACCGTCGTAAATGTAGTGCGTTCCATGGGCGATTAGGGCATGCGTATCGCCTGGACCAAAGATCCAGTGCAGCGTGCATGGGCGAGCGCTGGTTGCAGCGTCCAGCGTCCGCTCGCCTCTCACCTCTTCGACACGCTGTTCGAGAGGTTGTCCAGGTTTGCACTCGTAGAAGCGGGTCGAGTCCCTTGCCCAGTTCTCGGCCTCAGAAGAGTCGTTCGAGGTCGTGTAGACCCACGCACCAAGCCAAGGGTCCAGATCAGGGTGGACGCCAAGCTCTACAGACGCCCCCAGGAGCGGCCCCACCCAGCGAGCAGCGATGGCGGCAGGCTCGGCAAGCGCCTTGATCACAGAAGAGTTGATGCCCAGCGCCTGAAAAGTGGCAATGCCAATGGCGTCGGCATGGCTTGAAGAGGAGCAGCGCTTGGGGGTCAGCATCAACATACCGTTCACCGAGAAGCTGGACTCGCTCGCTCACCCTTTGGTCCAGCGAGAGTATTGGTGGAAAAAGCGCTCTCCACCCCAGCAGCTACGAGTCCAGACATTTGGCTTGTCTGGAAGCGTGATCCACTTGTAGACGGCGTCGTCTGACATTTCGAATGCGTTCAGAGAAAAGGGAGACGAAGGAAGGCGAGGGAGATGAATCGGGGTTGTGAGGTGAGAGCGAGGTACGCGGAGCAGTCAAAAGGGGATGCGGTAGCCAGGAGATGGATGTGCAGGACGAGCGATGAACAGAAAGCGTTTCGATGATGAGATTTGGACGATGTCGCCTTTGTTCAGATCCCCAAAAGATGCAACTTAATGCACAGCCAGCACAGCCAGAGGCTGCTGATTGACCCGTTCCCGTTTGGCCTTAGCGCTGTTTATCTTTCGCAACGCGTTCGGTCTGCTCGCCTGCTCGCCTGCTTGCCTGCTTGCCTGCTCGCACCACCCACGACCCCTCTCCAGGTCTCACGCAATTGCAGCAGTCTGGCAGCATACTCCTTCGTGCTCTACCCACACCACAGCTGCTCGCCGCAAATCGATTCAGCACAGACCGCAGAGCCAAGATACGTGGGCTCTTGGACAATCTGTATACTGTACCTACCACACCTCCACGTGTGAGACATGCCCGCCCACCTTGCCCGCACTGCGTCGGACAGATCACCGGTCTTGCGTACGTCTCACATCTGCGCTCTGTGTCCGAATGGCAGCCGCTTGATTGATTTCCATCACGACTTTCGAATAAGCGCATGCAGTCGCAAATCCGTGTTTCACACACACGTCTTCACGACTGCTCTACTACTATTGAGATGTCCGATGCTAGAACTTCGAGTGCTGAGTGTTTCTCGCTGCCGCGCAAGGCAGGTGCGATGCCTTCGGGTGAGTATAGCGCGTGGGGTGCCATTTTGCAAGCAATTAACCCGTCAA